GTTTAAGGATGGTTAACATATTATTGCACTATCTACTTCATTCAAACTTTTTGACAAAACTGTGTATTTCATTCTGTTGGTATAAAGATGACTGGTAGAAAGAACATTGCCAGGTGGGACTATGACCAACAATACATTCATACATTCAATCCCCACAAAGGTTAAATAAAGAGGAAGACTTGGTTACTGCTGAATTTATATAATGGAATTGTCAATTCAATAGTACATTCAAATTTTAACAAATATCAAATATACATAAATTGGGCTTCCAACAGTACAGAGCCTGCCTGTAACACAGATGTGCTGGCTTAGCTGCTACTAAATTACTCAGGTTGCAAAGGCTAATCACTTTTGGTCCCAGCAGGTAAATAAACATGAATGGTATATATCACCTTATATTAGATTTCTAATGCTTTTGAAATTAGAAATCTGCATTTTCTTCTTTGCTCATTTGTCATTCAGTAAATTTTTCTAACAATATTTCAGTCATATTGAATCAATATCTCTCTAAACAAGAGGGCCATGATGGCCCTAGATCGCTCACCTGAATTATCAAACTCATCCAAACAATTACCTAGACAAGCATTCTGACCAAGTCTCATGACAGGTGAGTCAAAAATGTGACCACTACAGTGTTAACAAGGATTATCCATATTTGAGCAGTGCGACCTAGTTTTTTACCCAGGTGACACATATTCAAACTTGACCTAGAAATCATCAAAACAAACTTTCAGACCAATTTCCAGGATACTTGGATCAAAACAGTAGCAACTAGAGTGTTAACAAGATTTTTCTATTTTTAGCTCCGGTGACCTAGTTTCACATGCGATTTCGAACTAATCCAAGCAATTACCTAGACAAGCATCCTGACCAAGTTTGATGATAATCGAGTCGAAAATGTGACCACTAGAATCTTAACAAGGTTTTTCCATATTTGGGCGGTGTGACCTAGTTTTTCATCCAAGATGACCCATGTTTGATCTTGACTTAGAAATCATCAAAAAAAACTTTCAGACCAATTAACAGAATATTTGGATCACAACAGTAGCCACTAGAGTGTTAACAAGATTTTTCTATTTTTAGCTCATGTGACCTAGTTTTTCATCCGAGATGTCCCATGTTCGATTTATTCCAAGCAATGACCTATTCAAGTTTCCTGACCAAGTTTGATGACAATTGAGTCAAAATTGTGACCACTAGAGTGTTAACAAGGTTTTTCTATTTTTAGCTCCTGTGACCTAGTTTTTCATCCGAGATGACCCATGTTCGAACTCATCCGAGCTATCACCTAGACAAGCATCTTGATCAAGTTTGATGATGATTGATGCAAAAATGTGACCGCTAAAGTGTTAACAAGGTTTTTCTATTTATAGCTCCGGTGACCTAGTTTTTCATCCGAGATGACCCATATTCGAACTCATCTGAGCTATTATCTAAACAAGCATCCTGACAAAGTTTGATGATGATTGGGTCAAAAATGTGACCACTAGAGTGTTCACAAGGTTTTTCTATTTTTAGCTCCTGTGACCTAGTTTTTCATCAGAGATGACCCATGTTCGAACTCATCCAAGCAATTGACTAGACAAGCATTCTGACCAAGTTTGATGATGATTGGTTCAAAAATGTGACCACTAGAGTGTTCACAAGGTTTTTCTATTTATAGCTCCTGTGACCTACTTTTTCATCCGAGATGACCCATGTTCGAACTCATCCGAGCTATCACCTAGACAAACATCCTGACCAAGTTTGATGATGATTGGGTCAAAAATGTGACCTCTAGAGTGTTCACAAGGTTTTTCTATTTTTAGCTCTTGTGACCTAGTTTTTCATCCGAGATGACCCATGTTCGAACTCATCCGAGCTTTCAACTAGATAAGCATCCTGACCAAGTTTGATGATGATTGAGGCAAAAATGCGACCGCTAGAGTGTTCACAAGAAATTGTGGACGGCCGGACGGACGACGGACGACGGACGACGGACATTCACCGATCCTAAAAGCTCACCCTGAGCAAGCTCAGGTGAGCTAAAAATATGACAGGTTTATATGGAATATTTATGTAAAATTATATCACTGTATATGCCACAGTTAGCATGCCACATAGTAATAATTTCTCTTTGCGTGTTTCCACATCAATTAAACTTTCTTTATGAAGAATCTGAATTATGACTATAAAGGAAATAACTTCACAGAATTGGCAAAAACTGTTTATTTATAACAGAGGTTTAATGAGCGATTTCTATCTAAATCCCTTTGGTGATGAAGTTAATAAATTAAATGTTTGATTTACTGTAAATCAAGAATGTAGGCTTGGTCCAATTGATAGACAATACAAGGTACATTATAGTTTAAAGAGTTATTATCAGCTTTAACGGAAATAAATGACTTTTTTATATGCAAACATGGTTACCGTTTATATGGAAGTATTTTAAGTGATAATTATTTTTTGAGGCGTTTTTTTTTATTATCTGAAGCGTATGTAAGCTGCCATTGTTGACCCGCTTACATCATCCGACCCGGATGTGAAAGATGTGCCCACGCAAAATTTGACTGTTGGACGCAGATGCGCGTTCAAGGCCGCATGACATCATGCGGCCATAAATGGCTGCCTGTAGTCGAACTGAGGGGATGTAGAAAACACCTCATCTATGTTTTTGTCTATATTGCTAATATGCAATACAAAAACAAAAATGAGCTTCAAGAACTATTTTGATAAAGAAAAAAATTATTACCAATACAGATGAATCCCCTTTAAGTGAAACATGTAAATTTATACCATGCCTTTCACACCCTGCCACACTTAAATGATTTTCTTTTCTTTTTTAAACTCACAAATATAATTTTTTTCATCAGCATAAATTTATTGGCTTACACCATTTGTTAATTGTACCAGTCTTACTGCACAAAATAAAATAACATAACACTTATAGGTGAAAAACTTTGCTGTTAGTCTACTAGAATGAAAATCTTCCTGGTGCCAGACTGATATAACATGGATAAATGGAACAAAAGGTTGAGAAATTCTCTTATTCTGCAACTGATATAAATAAGACAGCTGCTCCTATTTTACAGAACAATTACATAATTATGTCAGCTTAAAACCTCTAATGGTAATTGATTTGTTTATTGTGGATGATTGCCAATTATATTCATCTGAGAAACAAAATATTCTCCTGCCATTTCAATCACTTGCACAGTTATCAACAAAGTGAAATTCTTTTACCAAAAAAAAATATAACTTTCGTTTCTTATGATATCACATAATTTTCATAATTTTTAAAGCTTAAATTGACTTCCTAAAGAGAGCTTTCCAAAGAGCTTGCCCTAAGCAACTTCCATAAGATCCCTAACCCCCCAAATGGATTTCGGTACCTGTCTTAAAAACTAAGGGATGGTGCAAGATCACTCCAAGATCGGTGATAGAAACTGTCCATCAATAATTGATAGATCTATACAGTTAGCTAGCAAGCAAACAAGCACAGTTTAATTGCTAAGTGATGAAGATTCAACTCAAGTATTATCAACCTGACTTGTACTTAGAAATATCAGTTGAAATTTTAGAGTGAAATATATATAAAAAAGTTTAAAATGGCTATTATAACATTAATAGCATGAGTCATTTAGAAAGTGTAACAATATTTAACTCCTCCTCTTTTACTTATAATGTATGTGTCATAAAATATTATACAAATTTCTAGATGTTATCATATTAATTTTTATATGTCATATAACATATTGACTGCATGAGAAGGCACTATCAATTAAGAGATAGGCTTTAGTAGCAGTAAGATTTCATCAAAAGGTTTTACTGTGCAACTATATATATTCAAGATAAGCAGTTTGCAAACAAAAGATTGAACAAACAACAGAGATAACCTCTGTACAAAAAACAGTATGATCATCTAATATGATATCTATCACATGTTACCAATTAATGTTGTCTAAACTCAAGGTGTAAACCTCGTTACAGGTTCAAGGTATATAAACTCACTACCCAACCTCTACATAAATATTTATATATAGTTAACTAATGGAACAAAAGAGGGCATAACCTAATAACCTGCCAGTCCTCATATAAACTGATACAAAATAATATCTTCATTATCTTCCTCAATTAAGAATACAACATTATTTCTGGCCAGTAAATCTTGTCCTCACATAATGCATCACTGATACAATGTATGAAATTATTAATAAAATTCACAAGCACTTTTTTCTTCTTCTGAATATGTCTTGAAAAAATTAATAATGATTCAACAAAATAGTAATTTTGTCTTTTTGTTTACTTTTGAAATATCATGATTAAAGATATTTTATCACATAGACCACTGCACAGGTGTGTAATAAACATGATATTACATAATAACACTTTGATGTGACGTCATTTGCATTATATATAAACATAGCGTTAAAGCAGGCTTCTGTTAGCGTTACTGTACACTATAGGCGCGTCAATGAAAAATGACTCTTTTTGACAGTTTGCCGTTCTTGTTTCATATAATATATATGTGATAAATAGAATATTATATTAGTGTGGATTCAATACTAAATTTATTGAACTTGTTCAATAAAACAATATTTTGCTCGCCAGAGTCTCGCATAATATGATTTTATCAACTTGTTTAACTAATTTAATATTAAATTTACACTCATTCAATATCCTCTATAAAAGTACTAGTTTGCACTTTTACCCAACAATTTCTGCACCATCAGTTTGTATATATATTTATATATTCAGTTGGTATCAAACCACTAATTTTGTATATCAATACCCACCCCCCCTCCATGTGACATTAAGGTGCCCATGGGACATTTTATAGTGGATAAATGAGCTCAACCAATTAAATGATAGAAAAATCAATGATTTATTAGCTTATCATGCAGATATCTAACCAATATTGTTAATTTTATAGCATATCTCCTAAACTCTTGATGAAAGTTATATGCTTAAATCCCAATGCCACCAGTAAAATTATGTTAATCAGAAGCAAGAGCACTTACATGCAATTTCTTCAGAAGGACAGGATCTGTAGAATTTGTTGAACTTTGTCTTGCAGCTTTCCAGAACTGTTTCTGAGCAGAGTAACGGTTGTTAGGGCAGATCTTGAACAAACAATCTAAAATATAAGAAATTAGAAATTCATCATACATCATACACACATTTTTAGTGCTTAATATATTTAAAGAGCTGAATAATGCCTGCAGTGCCTCTGAAATTTATGACTGTTTCAACATATAGAAAAACAGAAGAAGAAAGGTACATTAAAAAGTTTATGTAGCAACTCATTTGAATAAATATTTATTTTAAGGTTTGGTAACTTTCTGTCATTGAATATAAATAAGCAGTCTATAATTATAATGCCTAAATTTATGCTCAACCAAGGTTGAACTTTAACAAACATTTTGCAAATGATACAGAAATAGTGACAACAATATGCATCAATCTGCCTAAAAAGTAGCAAATCACTAAAAACTGACAATACTGGCAAGGTACTAATTGTCATAATAGTTCTGCGAAAGTTTCGTTAAATGATCCTAAATCACTAAAAAACTGACAATACTGGCAAGGTACTAGTTGATATAAAAGTTCTACGAAAGTTTCGTTAAATGATCCTTTGAGAAATATATGAGAAGTAATGCTAAGCAACTGGTCCCAGCCAGCAGTCTCAGCCACCTGTCCCACCAACATACACATTTGGAATATCTAGTAAATAAGTATTCCATTTACTCATGCAAGGGGGAGCGGTGGCCTAGTGGTTAAGGTGTCTGCCTCTCAACCCAGAGGTCATGGGTTCGAGCCCTACTCGGGTCACGACCATGTTTCTTCATATGACACCAGTATTGGTTGGTTCCAGGAAGCGGACTCGAAAGTGATTAATATAAGTTGCAAAAAATTGTTTAGCAATAGAGCTTAAATAAATATGTTTAAACCAAACCAAAATGAAATTTCACCATGACTCAATTTGGAACATTGAGTTTTATGATCATTTGTCTCTCACTACTTATTCAGATTGAGAAATATTGAGGAATATGTGTCATTTTTCAGTTTACTGGTTAGGTTAGTAACCAAGGAAATCAGGTCTGATAGTCCACAACCAAGACACATGTGTAAAAATTGGCGTTCAACCCAAATAAACAACTACCATTAATATTAATGCTTATTTTCAAACTTCTTTTGTATATTGATATCATTTACAAACCAGGTGACCTAAGTAAAATACTTGGGTTTATGAACAAAAATCAAGGTATGCAACACAATCCGAATCATATGAAAATATTAAATTTATAAATCTGTAAGGAAACTTGTGAAGCATGAAAGTTTATTCTAATCACCTCAGAATGACCTTTCTTCATGCAGTGCATTTGATTGAATTTTTTTTTTTTGCAAACAGCAAGTCTTATAAATCAAAGGTTGAACCTGTATTAAGATTTTTAAAATCTTTGGGCTGGAGCAGTGATAACTGGTAAAGGCAAAAGGTCTTGAATGTCACCATGGAACCTGAGACTTGCCTTTGAAGTTTGGTTACACTTTCTAATACCAGCTGCTAAATTGAGCTCTAATTTTCAGTGTAAAATTCTTCAAAGTACGGATGTAAATATTGAAAGGAAACAATAGTTGGTCCATTAATTACATTGCACACAATGTTAAAAGGATAAGGATGATATGTAATAGTACATTGGTAAAAAAAACAACAACCGACATTTCAGTTAAACTTTTACAAGTATCTCTTCACAATATACTTCTTCAGTGTCAAATTTCACTGAACTACTTCTTACTTTCATCTGGCCTATAATTATATTTGAATACTTTGAGATAAAATATGTATGACAAAAAGGTGGGTGTATTATACCTTTGAAAATTTGAGCAAAGCTGTCAAAACTGAGATGTTTAATATATGTTTATTTATTACATGCCTATATAAATATTGACAATAGATTAGCAAATGAATTCATTTTGAGGATGTAGTAGTGTAGTTTAAATATAAAAATAGAGAATATGAACCCATTCTCAACAGTATATTGAGTATGGTTTAATTTAATAATCAAATTATACATGATGTAGAAATTTAAGAAATTTTTCATTTCACTTACATTGTATGTTAGCAATCTGTTGATTACATTGCATTACAAGCTTTACTGACCTGGGGAGCTAAATTTCATGTTTTATAAATGTTTACCTAACAAGGCGGAAATTGGAATTTAGGTATACTTAACATAAAGGCAAACTACCTATTCACTGACAGTAAACAACTCTTGCATGAAAAGAAGTTTAATATAGAACTCAATTTATTGATATACAAATGTAGCATGATGCTGGGACAATATTTGGTTAATTGTATGCCAAAATGATGAAATACTGAAGACATCTTGTCTAGTTGTTTCATGTAATGTTTAAAACACTCTACTTTACACAGCTCAAACTTTGAAAGTAAATTTTGAAAATTTCAAATCTCAGTGAAATTGTTATATAACTGAGTCAAAAATGAAACGCATAAATATTGTCAAAATGCTTAAGGTGGATACTGGATAATGAATTTTTGGTACTTTGCAAACCTTTGCCAAGACATTTTGCAATAACTTACTGTAACAACAGGTTTGTTCTAAGCTTGAACAAATTCCAGCTTGTCATGAAACTTAAAACATTAAAAGTTTCATGACAAGCTGGAACTTCAAGCAAACATTACTGAATGTTTAATATCCATATTCCATGCCTAAAATATTCATAAAATAATACCATTTAAATTAGTTTTTCCTTGTGAGCTAAGTAAATGGATCAATAAAGGTCAATATACCCCATATTTTATTAAAATAAACAAACAGCATGAAACAGAGATATTTTATATGGCCCTGGTGATAAATTGTGTGTTTAATGTAAAACTGATTGTAATATTAAGTTAACAGTGCTCAAACCTTCCAGACAAATTGTCTTCACTAAATTGTTCTACTTGAGAATGTGCAGAAATAAGCAAATATCTACACACTTTCAATGCACTCTGGATGAGGCTCTCTTGATTTCCCAACTGCAGGCTGACATTTATTTGGTAGATTCTTTCCCCTTAATAGATAATTTTAATTAGTACATATCTAGCACTTTATGCAAAAAATCTGATATTATATCATGAAAATATCAAACCATTTTTGTCAAAATCTCAGTGGCGCTGAGGCTATTTTTTCTTAAAAAGTACAACAGTAGTTATTTTAAACATACAATCACAATGTTGTTCAGTCAAAGGTTATAGACTCACTGGTTTGAAATGAGAAAGAAAAAAAATCAGTACAGTTTAAAGACACTGGTAACCACACATAATGATAAAGTCTTTATTTAAAATCAATCTCAAAATAGTTCTTTGCAGTTTTGTCTTAATTTACAAGTCCTTATCCCAATGTTAACTAAGTGACAGACATTTGATTTTCATTCATGTACTCATACAGTTCTCAAATCACCTCTAATTATATTACCTTGAGACCAGGTATATCACCAAGGTAACATCAAAGCAGTATATATCAGGAGAGAGACATACAAGCATATCTTAAATATATCTATACAATACCTACTTAACAGGAGTGATTCCCTTCACAAAATTAACTTTCTTCTCAATATATGCTGTATATTGTACTTTCACATTGAATGGTGCTATTAATTTCCTTTATAAAACATTTAACTAAAATGTAAATATAAGACTTATAAGCATATACTGTAGTATCATAGAAACTATGTACAATGAAATATTTATCAAGTTGAATCAGTGAGTGAGTACCACACCATGATAAATTGATTGATTCTGCAATCTAACACAGAGTTAAGACTGACAGAAATTTATCACGTTTTCGAGATGAAATCTACCCCCTTAACATTATGCTTGAAGTAACAAGTTGACAATCATCTAAATATGTGATTGACAGTTCTTTCCAATAATAGGTAAGTAAATTAAAAACGGAAACAAAAAATCCGGCAAAACTATTATAACATTAAAAGCATTCAAGAGTTCACTGCGAAGGGCTACTAACTCAATATGATAGTCCATTTAGTTACATTAATGTTGCATTTATATGTCAGTCTTAGACCTGAAGAAAGAGATTTGATATATATTAAGTGATATTGGAATCATCAAGTGATACTGGGAGTAAATTCTCAGACATCTATTGACAGATTTGTACCGAACTAGGCTACATTTTTTCCTGTGATTTTCTTCTCCTGATTTTCTTCTCCAGAACAGTATGATTCATTTGACATTACCTACATTAGGGAGACTAGGCTTACAGAAAATATTCATTGATTAATAAAAACAGCAGCTTTCTTTAAAGTAAATCAAAGAAAGGCTTTTATGTTTAAGCTTGTTTAATGGAGAACATATTACAACATGAATGGTTTATTGTAATACTACTGTATGATGTACTTAATGATCATACAGATACAACAGTGTTGCTTCTGATGAAGCAAGTTAGAAAGAAGAATTCCCGTAAATTACAGTATTACAGTGCATTTATGTTTTTAATTAAACTACATGTACTACAAAGTTCACAATTTGTAACAATGACAGGAATGCATTCTACATTTGTACATTAATAAATGGAAATAGCCATTCACCTTAAACTAACACTGTATGAGCAATTCTTAATAAGATATCACACTGTCAAAGACAACTTCAGAGTAAAAATTATTTAGGTTTTCTGTAATCATATTGTCAAATCTCAACTTCCACAACACCATCTACAATATTGTAATTTAAGGCTCCATTTTCCATAAAAAATACCCCAATTACATGTATTTCTTAATTTCAATAAAATATGTTTCTGTATAACAGAAAGCCAATACATTGTACATATATATTTTTGTAGCTGGACATAAGTCAAATTTCAAAAAAAAATTTGCACTTCAAGAGTTGCAATAGGGGGGCCTCTCGCTTCACGAGTAGCACTAGGGGGGCGGGCCTTTTGCTGAAAATTTTTCATATGACCAAGTTTTACAAGACATACAAGCATTTTTCTTTAGAAAGCTGAAGAAAATATAGGACAAATGATTACCTCTGAATTTCTTTGGAGGGTTTGACAAATCACCTGCTTCTGGCTGGACCACACACCTGTCATCAACCAAACTGAAATATTAAATATACAAATACATGTAGTCTAGTGAGTTGGCATCAAAAATCTCAAATTAATTATTTATGCTTTTGTCAAAGACCGTATTTAATATACTGGCTTGTCCTTTCAAGTTAAACATACATGTACATTAAACACCCATCTTTAGGGTTTAAAAAATAGGGGGCTGCACAAGGTTAATAGTCCCCCCAATGATAGGGTTTTAAAGAAAAAATATTAAAACTGGGCAGCACATGGCTAAAAGTCTCGTCAATACTACACATGCACATGAACAATGTTGTGCTGACCAGTCTCTCTCACAAATAAAAGTAAAATAAACATCCGGTGTAAATTACAGATTCTGACTGCATAAAAAATACAACTACAATATACATATTAAACTGTATGAAATAAACAGCCTGTTCATACTCCATGTTTTAAAGTCCTAGTGAGAAACCTGTCAGGCAATTTCTTCGTCTTACTATAATTGATTCTGCACACTTATATAAGTAATGGACATAATTCCGCGCCAAAAAAGTTCAAAATACATTTCTGCACCAGAGCACTTGATGACAAAGCTTCTGTGAAAGTTTAAAATCGCTTATGAAATGGTAAGTAAAAATTGTGAACAGAGTTGTTGATTTTTCTCTGTTTAAAAAAAAAACAACAACAAAGGGCCATAATTCAACTCAAAATGTTTTAATTGCAGCAAAAAGATAATTGAAAAATGTAGAAGTTGCGCAGAGAAGAATTTTGTTTTCGCCCACCTGCCACCATATCCCCAGTCTAATTATCAGATTTTTCCTTCACAGAACCATTGTTTACCGAGTTAAAAACTATTCCAGGCATACAGGTTTATTACACATAATGTATACTAAACTAAATATAAATACAAAAATTTAAATGCTGTCATCATTCATGGTTAAAAATGAATGACATATTCTAGATATGACTTTATTAATTATTATAATTTATATTGGTAAGAATAACAGTTAAAATCAGTTTTTTGTTTACCTTGTAAAGCATAAAAAAAATAGTATGGTATCTTTTAAAATACCAAACATATAGATAATAAAAATATTTATTTACAACAAACTTGTATGATAATTCTAATCAAAAACTCTAAAACTTCCTTAATATCACTCTTTATTTGGAGCAAATGTTTACTTACATGTGCATGTATGTGGTGCATGTGAACTATAAAAAAATTCCTATGTGATTATTTATAAATCAACATTTTCAGATCTAAAGATCCCGGTTATAACGAGGAACCATGTGAAGTCCCGACAATCTTGTTGTATCCAGAGTGCACTTTACATAGTCGCTAAAAATATTTACCCTTCTCAATATATCCATGCGAAAAACAAAGTGTCAACAGGTTCTAAGAGAATGTACATCGACATACTGCATTACTGGTACTTATAATCTTTTGTCAGGGCGACAGTTCTTACGTCACGCTTAAGATGTTTGTTTTGTAAATGATATGCACAATATTTTAGCGCCGACCAACCGAAGACCAATCAAAATTAATTTTCTCAATTCAGACACTCCTGTAGCCAATCGTGTTTGATTAGCTCAATCTCATAGATTCTCATAGACTTTTTTAATTCATTTGGAATATGGATGAAGATGTGTTGGTAATAATAAATGCACACAAGTTTCCCTTTAATAAATGCACAGTTTAGATAATATATAATAAATTTTTTGTGGAAAGTTATTACACATTTACTTATTTTGACTGTTTCAAAACTATTATTAAAAGCATGTGTTGGATTATCTGTACCAAACTGTGACATAATAGTAAGTAAAAGTTACCGTAAGAGGACAAGGTCTGCATAGTATTTACAGACACGGGTGGCTATTTGAAGACATCTATAGAGAACCTAGCGATCGAAATTTTAACAGGGATACCGAGTGCAGTAACAGTCTTACGTACCGGTATATGATCCAAACTTCAGTTTTTGATTCAGTATTTATTAACATTACTCACAAGAAACCTATTATGTACCTAATCAGGTTTAAGAAAGCATTTAGGGTACATTTTCTAAGTGAGTGCGCCCTTCTGACCTACAGTTAAATTTGTTTTGTGCCGGCAGTCTTTACAGAGGGTCAATCATGTCAATGGCACAATGGCGCTTAAGATTGAACACTGTGTACGCTTCAGATTACAACGTCATTTCTGGCTAAATTTACTATGTCTTTGAAGATTAACTTCATTTGTCCAAAAAATACATGTATCCCTGCGTCCATACAAAATGAGGAAACCCAACCAAATCATTTGACAAATGCACAAACAACTGAGAAATGCCAGCAAAAATGATAATGCTCCAAAGCTAGAGGCTTGAAAGCAATTTCTAGTTGCGATATAATGATAATAAAATGGCATGCACAGTTTGTTTAACCCATTACTTCATGAGCATTTTGTGAAAAATGGCTGTTTTCATTGAAAAGTCTCCTGTTACAAGTTCAAATTGCTAAAAAACTATAAAAACTGCTTCAATACTAATCAAACTTGGCACAAATGTTGACTGGACCATTGCCTTTGCAACAACATGCTCAGGCTTAAATTTTCTGTTACCATGACAACGAGGGGACATCTCAAAATTGCCAAAAATCACTATTTTGTGTTGATTTTTTTCCATCAAAATTGATTTCAAAGTGCTGCAACTTCTCAATGGATTGAGATAGAGTCAAATTTATGCTTTTCAGCGTTGGTTACACATTACCTTATGATTGATCTGGGGTCATTTTTAGCCTCTCACTAGTCCAAAATTTTCTTGACGATGAGGGGGACTGCGGCCCCCCTTCAAACCCCCTAAACAGAAGGTGGCACATCCCCCTTCTGGCAACACCCTGATGAATCTTTTAGTTGGGGGGCCGCGCCGAAAAAGTGGTCACTTTTTTAACAACATTTCTCAAACAAAAACATGTGTTGGGGGCCTTAATAAGACATTTTTTCACCATTTGAGACAACAAAAAAGGGGGTGTGTGAAAAAGGCGTTAAAAGGCGTGTATATTGGGTAATGGGTTAAATGAAAATAAAAACAATCCATTTACGCACAAACTTCAGAGTTTTGACACATGAAAAAGACATGTTGAAAAGGTGTTTGGACTTTACACCTCCTGGATGTTTCATCCCTGGACGTTTCACCCTCAAAACCCTGGTCTTTTCACCTCCACTTTTTAAATTTGATAAATATATGAAATAAATACATTTATGGGTTATAATATTATATATAATATAACACATACTTGCAAACAATTACAATCAAAATAACAAATTTACAATATAAAGAAGATTTTTTTGACATAAATATAGTAAAATTTCCCTGGGAAAATAATTATAAATATGAGTTCTGAAAGAATTATCAGCTATAACAAACCTTTAACAAATGAGTAACAAGCAAATTTATGCCTTTAAAACACACAATTTTTTTTGTCAATTTTCATACAGTGTGGTCACTAGCCATGAAATCATGAGGGTCATTTTGTCTAAGTTTTACCGACTACAAGGTCTAATCCCCATGATTTTAACAAAATTTGACCCTCCAGTTAATATCCTGAGAGTCAAATCAGGCCTTTTGGAAATTTGAAGGGTCAAAGAGTCATTTCAAGGGTCAAACGGACACCCTGTCATACTTAATGTATACTTTCACAATGTCTGATTCTGTGTAAAATATATTATAGAAATATATATTAAAATACATAATACCTTGTAAATTCTTTGCCTATATTAAGTTAAAGAGAAGTTATTGTTTAATTTTTGAAAAATATTTTTCATGAACCTTTTTAATTGAAAATCTCCCTCAAATTTTGAACAAAAAGGTCAACATTTTATTTATGATTTAAATTTTAATAAGAAACTAGTTTGAAGACTTACCCTAGGGTTGATATGAATCCATTTACATTCCCCTCGGCATACAGGGATACAATATCGCCTATATGCAAGAATGTTGCAGACATCCTTAATTTTTATATTTTTCCAATCTCAAATTTTCATCATTCATGATCAGAATTTTTCGAACAATTTGACATAAGTCCCTTAAGTCGTCGGATTCTGTCAATCTCAAATTTTCAAACTATTATTTGTACACAGCTATACATCCATACTTTAATGAGAAGGAGATTCAATACACTACGAAAAGGACAAATCTCACTTTTCCCCGATTTTTGACAGGCTGCAAATATGCGGACTTTCTCGGATTTATTCGACATTTGGATAATGCTAAATCCCGTCTGCTTGACGTACCAAATTGGAGTACTACAACACTAAATATTTTGACAGGTTGTTGTCTACTATTTACTTTCAAAACTCTTATTAAACTCCACTGCCCTGTGGCATAAATTATTAAGTTACAATATTGATGGGAAATGCTTTGAAATAATACACAATATGTATGACAAAGCTAAGTCATGTGTTAGTTCGAATAATACAATTTCAGATTTTTTCACTAGTCATAAAAGAACATATAAATGATATGTTAAGTGATGATGAAATGGAAGTTTATCTTAAACTGTATTTACTATTATATGCAGATCGATGGCACTGTAATATTGTCAGAGAGCTCTCAGCAGCTTCAGTTAGCATTAAACGCTATGTCTGACTACTGCAAGCTTTGGAATCTTGAAGTAAATACAAATAAAACCAAAGTTATTATATTTTGGAAAACCAAGAGAGGTTTGCGTAATATGCCTAACTTTCACTATGAGGGGACTGTCCTTGAAATTGTTGAGCATTTCTCATATTTAGGTGTCCAATTTTCATTTAATGGTAACTTCAGCAGAACTAAAACATTCCTTATTGATGAAGCCCGTAAAGCCATGTTTTCTGTAATTAGGAAATCTAGGATACTTAATTTACCAATAGATATGCAATTACACTTGTTTGATACAATGATAGCACCCATTTTGTTGTATGGGTGTGAAGTTTGGGGTGTTGAAGATGTGAGTGTTGTCGATAAATTTCAATTAAAATACCTAAAGATAATTCTACAGTTGAAACAGAGTACTCCAAATGTTATGATTTATGGGGAGGTGGGTATTACCCCACTTTCAACACAAATTAAAAGTAGAGTTCTCAATTACTGGGGTAAAATAGTTAATTCTAAACATGATAAGATAATCAGCATTCTATATAGAACAACTGATAATTTATATACTCTGAATAATATTAAATCAGATTGGGTCTGTTTTGTTCGAAATAATTTAAATGATCTTGGATTGTCGCATTTTTGGATAAATCAAAATGTGGAATCTCCTGCTTCATTCAAGAATACTGTCAATTTAAGACTGCGTGATCATTTTATGCAAAATTGGAGAAGTACAATTAATAATTCCATTAAATGTCTAAATTACAGGATTTATAAACAGGATTTTTGTTTTGAGCCATACCTCAGCAAGTAACCTATGAATTTAGCTTTAATTCTCTTTAAATTTAGAAGTATGAATCACAAACTTCCTATTGATAAAGGAAGGTTTGATGATATTCCAAGAGAACTTAGAACTTGTAACCTATGTACCAGTAACTCTTTAGGCGACGAATTCCATTATCTTTTTGAATGTTCACATTTAGTTAATACAAGAAAGCTGTATCTTGATAAATATTTCTATGAACGTCCAAGTGCTTTAAAATTTGAAAAATTAATGAACCATAGTAATAAAGATATCCTTTTGAAACTTGCCATATTTTGCAAAAATATTATGTTATTATTTAAATAATGTTAGCTTATTAGATTTATGTCTTTTCTCTTTGTTTTTTTCTCGCAATGATTTTTGATTTTTCTCTCTCATCCTCCATTATCAGTCAATTATTACTGTAATTTTATTACATCATGGAGTTGTATGACCATTTATAATTTGCCATTTTGTAGTATTTTGTTTTTACATATTATTTGCCATTTTGTATTATTTTGTATGTATGTACTGTTTTATGTTGTCACATGCCCATATGGGCACTGACGTATTCAAATAAACCTTGAAACCAACGCAGTCGTCCCCCTTTGTATTAATGTCGTTATATGTCCAATAAATGACCATGAGAAGTTTGTAACTATACCGTATATGTATAAATGACGCAATTCTATACCCAAACAATGTGTATATATATGTATATATGTATTCTGGGCTTCATGAGTTTCCTTCCGTCCTGTCAGGCACTTAAAGTACGGACCCCGGACCTATCACCATTCAAGTCCAATAATCTCCCAAAAGATTACCTTTCAGTATTTCACTGAATGATACTTAATATGTATGTAAGTCGAATTTTGTGATGTTTACTATTTTGGTGCATGGGAGGCCAATGAGACCAGTATATGTATCATGGAGAAAAATAAGGTGTTCCTGCCAAAATAAATGATCACATCTTTCGAATGTATTTATTTGAATGGCCTTAGGTCGTCCAACTTTTTGTGAAGTTGGCTAATATGGGACTGGTATTTGTTCAACTTGGTCTACAGACATACTTAATGGACCTCATATTATCCGCTAGCTTATTCTTACAAAAATGAGTGTAAACCTTATAGAACAAAACATGTTATTTTCGGCTGGATATGTTTTCATTTAGAAAGTAAAATACCAATATCACTGTAAAGCAAATGGTAAACTAGAATGACATAGTATCATGTTGTAATATGTTTAATACTGAATGAAAATGGAGGAAAAAAACTCATGAACCGATATGTCAGTCTTTACACCAAAGTGACTATCACTTCTTTCATTTTGGGGCACTTTTTTCACTTTCGTAATTACCTAGTACATATATATTAAGTAAACTTTCATTCGAAATTTCGAATAGAATTTCAGTGGGCATTTTTAAATCGATTATGACGTCAGACATATTTTTAATAATAAATTTAGCCAAATAGACTTTAATTTCCTATTAATGTCAAATACAAATGTATATACATTCGTTATAACTTATACATTATCAAAGATTACACGCCAGAAGATATTCCATTTTTCGATTATGAAGTCAGTACTTGTTATGTTATGTTTCCTAGTTTTTACCTGTATACTTTATAATTATGTCTTTTTCTTTTTACTGGATTGGTAGAGAATAACCCAACCTGTGCTTGAGCAAAGAGGGCACTGTTTTAGTAGATTTCGCAGAGAGTACCGATATGGATATGCACCGTAAAATTCAATACTTCCATATGCTGTTCATTCTAAGTTACCACTTTGTATTAGATCTAATTTCATAACCGCGTGACTTCATTGTATTTAATTATAATTATGCACGACATGTTAAAACAAGACATTATTTACAATATTGAATAACCATATTACAAAAAGCAATAACAATAATGGATAATAATTCTAGGAACATTTTCTTTGCCAGGGAGATTATTGCAAGGGTGATTTTCTCTGTTATCGTTATAATCTTTCCAAATTAATTCTGCTGCATTATTGAGGAAAACATTAAAGATTTTAGCCACCTCAATGTCAGTATATATAATACTAGAATTGTTTTTTGTTGTTTTTATTTTTCATTGAGAATTATTTTTGGCCGTTCCAAGGAATATTCATTTGATAGATATGGTTTAATTATTTCCAAGAATTCTAAGGTTTTACAACCCCTATACACCTGTCATTAAAGTAATTATAAATAGACCTTTATTTTGTTTACAAGATTTCAAGATTTCTGACAGTTTTACACTTAAGATATTGGTTATTATACATCGTTGAATAGTATAAATTGTTTTTCTATGTTCTCTTTTCATATATAAAGGAGTTGCTTTGTTTCTCTTTATTTGTATTTTATAGGAATATGCTTGTAAAAAAAACATGTTTACTAAATGAAAGATCCTTCAGATTCACTAGACATCTAACATTATCAATGTAGATATGTAAATTAAGAATGAAATAGGGAGGGACAGTCTCCAAAGCAGGGGGAGAACAGTCGAGGGAAAACAAACTTTAGACAGGAACTAGTAAGGGGGAGAACATTCTTGAAGAAAACAAACGATAGGGGAGGAACTGGCAAGGGACAGAATTTAACAGTCAGACCAAACCCTATGCATAAGAAAAAATAATTCCTTTCGTATTGTATTGTTCAGATTTTTCATAACGTACAAGAGTGTGGTATTCTGACATGTTTTTATCCTAAAAACATGTATATAGTGACCTTGTACGAACAGTACGGTACAACTTATCAAATAATCACTTTGTACGAGTATAGACCTTTTCACAATACTATTTTTCCATAGTAACGAATATTGCATTTCGCGCATGCGCATTCTGCGTAGGGCAAAAACGCAATAACAGAACAGAAGAACAGAACAGAAACTTTATTTCTTGGTTTAAGCATAAAAAGCTCATCACCATATTAAATATACAAATACAACATATAATACATAAATGACACATGACATGAATATATATAATTACAAAATAATGGTTTATGTGATGTGAGAATGTTTAATTTGAGATACCAAATTACTTAAAAAGCATATGAATACATGTATATAATACACAAGAATTTGCCTATCTTTACCAAACATTATCAATTTAAGCTACAATACAGTATACAAAAAAGCAAACTGCGACAAATGAAGGGGGATAACTTAGGTAACTTTACATATCCAGTATTTTAACATTAACTTCCCCTTAATAATTCATGATCAATATTAATAGAATGAAAAATGAATACATTTACTGATTTTGTACGTTTTTTTTTATATATATATAAAGAAAAGAAAAACCCACACAAAACAGATCAATACCCAAAACAACTAACGCTAGACTTAATTATAAGGATTAGTTTTGTCAAAACATTTTATCATGGTATTTATATTTGGTTATGTGTTGAAAAACAGATATAGTTAATTTGAGAAGATACAAATATTAATAAATAAATAAAAAAAAAATATATGTATATATGTACAATTTCATATTCACATATAACTTTACAAATCTACATGATGGATATACAATGCGCATTTAACAGTTACAATGATACTTTTCCTTTTTTTAAACAACAGAAAAAAAACAGAGAAAGAGAGTAAAGCTTACATAACAGTATATTATAACAAACTATCCCTCAATTTAAAAGCTTTATCACAGAATATAGCTAAATTTTTCAGTTCTTTCTTGCGACCAGTTTGCATTAATGAAATGAATTTAAACATACTTGTGTTGCAATAATAGTATCTTGGAATGTATTGCTTTCTTAACTCAGAATATATCGGACATTTAAGGATAAAGTGAAATTCATCTTCTATATCATTC